CCCTCGAGATTGCTCGAATGGAGAAAGTACCAAACGCGGTCATCATTATCATCATCACTGTCCAGTTAACACACAGTGAAGTGAACTCCGGTGATCGCTGACAAGCTCGTAATATGTAGGAAATAAGAACGAATAAATGAGGTGAATGGGAAAATGGATCGCTTCGAAGGAAAGGTAAAACAAGCTGAACCTCTACGATCGATACACAGAGTGTACACAGTCAAATGATACATGCATTCTGATTCGACCATTCCTGTCTGTGATAGGAGAGAACAAGACTACAACTACCTTCGATGTGATGCTTGATGTTGCTGAGACATGGTCGTCATGGAAGAGGAAAATCATTCGCCAAATATGACCGTTTAAGGGCCCATTGCATGATTCAGATGGGACGATAGAAACAAGAAGACCAGAGTCAGCATAACCACGGAGTTATGGGGTAATCGCTATCATCGCCTGACACAAATGCTTGACGTTTGTGAATTGTGATATATCGTTCTCGCCGAATAGGCTTTCTCGAATTACTTTCAAAATCCAAGCTACAGTGAATCCTGCAGCTAAACGTCGTAAACAAAGGTGTACTTGCTTGCATTGATTTTTGCATTTTGTGTTTATTTATCTCGATAGTATCTTTTAACTACTTTTAGCTGCTTCTAAATTTCTCTAGCATATCCATACTTATTTCGCTTGCTCTGGACTCTTTTAATTTCTCCAAGTGATGTGAATACACTTTGACCTCCACTTGATCTGTTCATTCCCGTGACCCATTGGTTATAAACACAGATCCCCTAACTAGAATAGATTGTGAATTATTTATAAGCTACTATTGATACAAACTTCAAGTAGTCGTCCCACATTTACAACTCTGTACAGAAAAACTTCGTGGATCATCTTTTCAACTGCGAAAACTTAGGCAGTTCAACGCCAAACAAAAAATCATTTCCCTTTTTGTTTTTCACTGTGTTTTCCCCGTTATTCTGTATTGTTCCCCGGTGATCTTTGCTGGACCAATCAAGAAAGACTTAAAATTCTTCGCCGCGGTTTGTCGATCATCAATCGTGTCTTTTATACCCTCTGATCTTTCTAGAAAAGAACTGTGAACTACACTTGTCCGGAAGTGAAACATTTGCACAGAATATTGAAAATCGGTTTTCGTAGCTCGGGTGAACTGAATTCCATTTTGCCTGTTCGCCGAGCTTGGCAATTTGTTTGCAAACGTTTCATCACCAGCCGAGGTGACATCATCAGTGCTTGTGAAGTGGCAGTGTTCTGTCTGTAACCGTTCGTTTATATATGCGATCTTCTCCATCGGCTATTTTCGCCCCCTGTTCTCGCTGTGTTCG